ATAAAGTTTCTTTTACTCCATATTTGATTTAGAAGATAATTAACAAATAAATTTATAATTAATTATCCTTCCGTAAGCCGACCTTAGCTCAGTTGGTAGAGCGGAGGACTGTAGTGTGTCTGCTGAAATCCTTAGGTCGCTGGTTCGAATCCGGCAGGTCGGAATATTTTTGTTAGTTTTTCTCTCTTTTTATTTCCTTTAGTTTTGTTTTGCGTTTATTTCTCCTCTTAAGACGACGCCGTTTCTTAATAAAAGCCAATATGGTAAACAGTTCGTATTCCTTATTTTCCTTAATTGACGTTACTTGGCTTTCACGTCATTATGGCTTTGTGCAACCCAAAACCCTAATATCTACCTCCCTATAAAACCCTACTATCACCCAATGAAATTAAAATCCGCCTCCCAACTTCTTTACAATCTCCACCCTTAACACAGAAGACAAACTTTTTTTTTTCTCTTAACAATGAGAGCTCCAATGGGTATGTACTTGTCAATATTGTGTATTAAATCAATACGTAGTTTTCACTATATCTATGATTCGTGCCATAAATATTGAGTTCAATTGAATCCCTAAATAGGCTGTGTTCGCATATGTTACATATGCCCATCATTGTATATATGCATTAGTATGGTGTATAGTAGAAGCTTTTATATTTTTAAGATTATCTGTTCAGTTTTTCGAATATTTGTATCTTTAATTTGTGTGTCTCTACCTTCGTAAGGTCTACTTACACTCCATCCTTCCAAATCACTACTTTGTGGGATTACACCGGATCTGTTGTTGTTATTTTTTAATTTTATTTATTGCTTGACCTCAGGTCGTGGACGTGGCGGTAGAGGAGGCTTCAATGGCCATAACCACTCCAATGCTACAAGAGGCAGAGGTGGTGGTGGACGTGGTGGTGGTCATGGTATTGCACGTGGGGGCGGTCGTGGTGGTGGTCGAGGTGGCGTTGCCGGAAGGGGTAGAGGAAGAGGTGGTGGTCGTGGCGGAGGAGGAATGAGGGGTGGTGGGAATGTGTTGATCATTCCTCACAGGCATGAAGGTATATTTTTAGCCAAATCAAAGGAGGATGCTCTTGTCACTAAAAACTTGGTACCTGGTGTTGCTGTTTACAACGAGAAACGCATATCTGTTCAGGTTCCTCCTTCAATATTTCATCTTAATTACCTCTAATTCAATTCATGGAATTAATGAAGTTGATGAAAATTCTCAATGTTTGATTAATTTACTTTTGCATTCACCAGAGTGAAGATGGAACAAAGGTTGAGTATAGAGTTTGGAATCCATACCGTTCGAAATTGTGCGCTGCAGTCTTGTGTGGCATAGATGATACTTGGATTGTGAGTATATATTTGTTTCATGGAATTACATTCTTACATATATATGCTCTACTTTATATTTTCCCCAAGCTGTTTAGTCAGTTAATATTGTGTTCTTTTCGTTCTTCTAATGTTACAATAGAAACCTGGAAACCGTGTTCTATACTTGGGAGCTGCTTCTGGAACTTCTGTTTCTCATGTCTCTGACATAGTTGGACCAGTAAGCTATCCGTTTAATTACTTCTTATAATATTATTATTATTACTGAAGGAGAGCCCTTGGACCAACGGCAAAATTGCCTTAGTTTGACCTACATGCTATAGGTCACGGGTTCGAGCTGTCAGCCATTAATGTTTGCATTCCTAGGGTTGTGGCCCTTCCCCGAACCCTGCATCTTCGTGCACCCTTTCCCGGAACGCGGGAGGCTTTGTGCACCGGGCTGTCCTTTTTTTTTTTTTTTAATATTACTAATACTAGTATTATAACTGAGTTGTGAATTGTTTATCAAATTAGAGTGGAGTGGTGTATGCTGTCGAATTCTCAAACAGGAGTGGGAGGGACTTGTTGAACATGGCCAAGAACAGAACAAATGTTATTCCCATAATTGAAGATGCTAGGCATCCGGCAAGATATAGAATGTTGGTTGGTATGGTGGATGTCATCTTCTCTGATGTTGCTCAGCCTGATCAGGTCATATTCTTAATTTTCTTTATATTACATATATACTTTTCGTGATGTCAATTAGTTGAAAATATATTTTAGTACGTTGTTTTATCATTCGTTTAGTCATCATGGAAATTTATATTTCAGAGAACTTCTAATATTTTTTATATATAATATTATTGGTTTGAGATGAAAGGTGAAGATTAGTATAGTCAATCCCAACTTTCTAAGTATTGTGGCTAGTCGCTAATCTTTTACTAATTCAAGTAGTGATGCAAAATCTAAGAAATCATCTTATTTGTTCATTATCTTCAATTCCTGTTCCTTTTTTTAATAGCTAATGGACTTGGAAAGCTGCATGTGGTCAGGTTTTTTATACATGTAGCCAAACCAAGCCGTTTTTGATCATGTTTTCTCATTTTGTTTCCTGTCTAGGTTTCTTTCATTTTTCTCTTCCTTTTTTTTTTTGTTATTTTCCAGTTTATATCTCCATATATTTGGGGGATAAAGTGAAGGAAACTCGTTTCGCATATATCAAGCATGTGATGAATTAACTGGTGTCTCTCCATATACTTTGGTGATTCCCAGGCTTCTGATGCTATTATTATTATTATTATTATTTTCATTTTGTTAATACTTTTATTGCTGCTCTTATTTCCACTTTCTTTGTCTTTTGAGTGATAAAGTGGATAATAACTATTTTCACATTTTATAGCAAGTGATGAATTATTTAAAGTCTCTACAGACACGGATGGTTTTCAATTGTCTAATTTTGTTTTTCAAAATTTCGAAATCTCGAAGTATGTAAATGCACAATGCCTTTCATTTTGCCTGCACTTGAAACGGCTGATTACGTTATAGTATATACACTTACATGTTTCAGTCAACTTCAGTAGTATTGCAAGTCTTTGATTTTCCTTCTTTTAATTATAAAGTAAGAAGCAGCAGTGCAGTTATTACAAAGATTGAGAGATAGGCTGAAGCCCCAATACTATACTACAAGTTTTTAGTCAGAGTTTGTTACCTAAACAACAAAATTAAATTAGTTTTGTTTCTTCAACAACATTTTTAATTTCTTGATGTGGTCGCGCTTCATGCTTTCTTTCTAAATGATAATTCAATACAATAGGTATAGTAAAATCACAAAAGTAAGCTGTGTAAATTATGGGATCTGCTACATACTCGTATAGTAGGTCCACAACAACAATTTTTATATATTGTGTTCTAGTGTAGTATTTACTCTGTACTTGCATTTGTTATGTTCTTTATATGTTATAAGAAGGTAAAGTGCAACAGGAATGACTTGAAGCCTCATTCCATTTTGTTCAGAAAAAAATGTCATCCCATTTTCTCCCTTAAAATGCCTTTAATAATGAGGGTATTTTGAGATCATTATGCTAATTTGGGTAAAATTTGCTTCTTCCCTTCAGTGGAAGATTATAGTGGGAAGTCTTTAGAGAAAAGCACTATTGTTTGTTATCTTATGTAACAATGTTACTAACAGGTTATGTTTTCCAATTGTTTATAAGAGCTGGTATGACTTGCATATGTTTGACCTCAGATGTGTTAACATCTCCCCCCATCCCTGATCCAGAATCTATTGAGTGCTATGTTTTACTTTTTACCCATTTCAGATAAGGATCTTAGCTTTGAATGCATCATATTTTCTCAAAGTTGGAGGTCATTTTGTGCTGTCAATCAAGGTGAGTCCATTTTGGTACATTAAAGCATCAGTTTTGGAAGTATTTTTTTATATGCGTTGACGGTATAAAAAGATGCTTACACAATCAGATTATCAATATATGTAAATCTCTATAATAAGCAATGCTTAGTAATCACCTTACTATTTTTTTGTTTTTATTCTGCTTTTATATGGCTTTTTGGTACTGTCCGTCTTGTCTACATTTTCATTAATGTGGTGCTTATATTTGCGTGAGCCGAGGGTGTATTGGAAACATGCTCTCTATCCTCACAAGGTAGGGGTAAGGTCTGCGTACTACCCTCCCCAAAACTCACGGTGTGGGATAATATTGGGTATGTTGTTGTTGTTGTTGTTGTAGTAACAAGTATGATAACTAACTTGCTATAATATATTAAAATGCACTTATAGTATAAGAAGCGGAGCTTTGGAGCAACGGTAAAGTTATCTTCGTATGACCTGTAGGTCACGGGTTCGAGTCATAGAAACGGCCACTAATGCTTGCATTAGCCGTGAATGCGAGATGCTTTGTGCACTGAGCAACCCTATTTTTGCACTTATAGTATAAAAGTTCTTTATACAGTCCTTAGTATATACTAAAATACTGTCATCATACTGATGCTACTGAGATGTCAAAATTATCTTTTGGTTTTGCAGGCCAACTGCATAGATTCTACCCTTCCAGATGACAAAGTATATGAACAAGAAGTGCAGAAACTGAAGGCCAACCAATTCAAGCCTATTGAGCAAGTTACTATGGATGAGTACCAAAGACACCATGCTTGTGTTATTGGAGGATACCGAATTCCAAGAAAGAAGAACCCTGTTGCTTAGCTGATATAAGTTTCTACTTTTATCTAGCTCTGGATCCCTTATATATGCTTCTAATTAGGCATCTTTTATATTAAAATTGCACTAGTAAACTTCAGTGAGATTTATATTTCTTTTGCAAAGATTGGTTCAGAACATATTGCTACTTATATAGTATGAGATTATTTATAAAGGTTGACATCCCCCTTCCATATTATAAATTGTGTTTGATATAATCCTTTTGGAACATGGCTTGCAAGTGGTTTTCACTTTGCATCCACAACTGAATAAAATTTCGACTGCATTGCTTCATAGGGATAACAAAATTTGGGGTAAAATAGTACCCTCAGATCAGCTGAAATATTTATAAACTTGTGATATCTTGATATGTTTGTTGGCCCAGAAAGGCTCCAGCTCTGTTTTAAACACACAGAAGATAGAGTTCCAAAATGTAAATAAATGGACTATTCAAAGGCTTCGAAAGTGCACAGAAGCAAAAGTTAAGGGAGAGAAGGAAAATATTATCTCATTATGAGCATATCAGAAAAAAGATTTGCCGTTAAGAGACTGAATTCCTAGCAATCTTGTTCCTTTGTAAAAAAAACTCAAGAGCTTGGAAGTGTAAAGGGGAGTTTTCATACACTTGTTTTGTAGTCAAAAGTCAAAACAGAGGGAGGAAGCTGCTGTGTGGGCAAAGAATTCACTGACCCAAAAAATATACAATTCTACGATGGAATCTTGTATCTGCAGTTGTAAAAGACATACTTTCCAATATAACTTGCTTCACGAATAAAAGCACAAGAAACTCCAGCAATTTACGGTTCTGGAAAATGCCATGACCACAATCAAGATTCATGTACTACCTCTGATCCAGATGTGCTTTTCCTTGGGGAACAAAAGATGGAGAACTTAGCATCCCGCCCAAAACATTTAAATCTAGGTCCATATTCTGATTCATCATCATCACTGTCAAAATTACTGGCATTAGTTCTATTCTGGTCGCCTCTGCGCCGGAGAAGGAAGACATTGAAGTAGTAGCTTACTAAAGACTCCCTGCTATTGTTTGGAAAGAACTTGAAAATCTCATTCCAGAAACTCTTGTCCTCAGTCAAACGGTTCAACTTCACTATATCCTGAAATTTCCCTTCTTCTTCTCTTGACCAAGAAAGTGCAACTTCTTCACCCATAGAGTCAAATTTCCATTGATAATAGGCTGATCCCAACTCAATCTCAATCTTCTTCCTTTTCTCGAGAAGATGAAACTTGACACAGTCATAAGAACCTGGAGATTGGCAGCTACAGATATCTTGCCTTCCTTTCCCAATAGGATCTCTTTTTTTATCTCTTTCACTTAAAATTGTTGTTTTTCCTCGTTTGCCTAGCGGCCAGATTCGGGTGCCTAGCCATTTAGAGTCGCTTTCATAAATTGTCTCAATCCATTCGGGAATATCTGCTTGAAACTGTGGCCCAACTGGTATTCTCTTTTTCCGCTGCTTCCACCAAAAATCAACTACTGACTCTGCAGAAGAGGCAGTTGGTCCATCGATCTGATCCTCATCACTATGAAAACTTGGTGATGATGACACTGAAAACAGCGGTGCACGCCTCTTTTTCAAAGAATCTTTTGCAGATAGGACTCGCTGGCTGCATCTTACTCTTCCAGAACCAGAACCATCATCATACAAAGATGGATGCATCTTCTGTTTTATCTATGCAAAGAATTTTCTAAATTAACCCAAGCCCGGAAAAAAATTGTGATCTTCCATAACTTTTGGATGTTCACGTAAACATCACTTGCTAGATAAGTGTAAATGCTAGGATAAAACGAGAAGCTGAAGGGAAAATGATACGACACTCTGTGCAATTAGTGAAGTTTCACTTTCAGAGTCACAAAAATGCACATAAAGCCAAGGGATGCTGTATTGGTTGCTAAACAGCAACTTATCTAGTGAAAATGGCATGCTGTGCATAAAATGATCGCAACAGGAAGCAGGAAGTTCTCCCCAGTTACAAACATGCCATTAAAAGATGGACATGATCGAAGTGCATTGGTTTATCAATCTGGAAGATGCTACATAGACTGGCAAGTGGACAAACACAATCAGCACTGGACAGCAAGCTGAGTTTTTCCGAAAAATTAGAGCACAGTATATTTTAGATTATACTACAAAAATAACCAAAGGCATTCAAAGAGTAGATGGAACTTTCATTTCATACCGTATTTCTTTATCAAGAAGACCCACCCTCTCGGGGCTACAGCATTTACAAATAATGATACACTAAACTATTTGGAAAGTTAGCGTAAATCATCCATTTCTCTCCCCCTCCGTCCAAAAATTTATGGTCCATCTCACCCTGAGGAGCTTTCTCTAGTCTAGATTAATAGTTAAAGCTAATAATAACTCAGATTAAGTAGGCCATATGCATTTTTATCACTTCCTATGAATCTATGATTCATCAAACTCCCATTGCATTTTCCTGCTGGGACAATGAATACTCTTTTGACATTTTTCTACAAAGTTCTAACAACCAGAGGTTGGTAGCCTCTTTAATTTTCACAATTTCACATTTCCACTATTTATGTCTAGACCATCTTTACCAAGTTGAAGCACATATGTCCTGTGTTCTCTTCTATTTAGCATGTCCATTCAACAACCTACCACAATTAGGAAGGGTGACACATCGCTATGCCAAACTGTTTCTTTATTTGACAGAATACATGGCTCCTATCCTTATGAAATATATTTTGTTATACCTTCGTTTAGAGGATCTCATGGCCCCTATTGACTTACATATAAGAACCCACACATTGCATTGATGATGCCTCCTAATGCAACTCTAACTGTGACTTTCTTGGTCAACGCCATGCTTGACTATCAAGAAATAATTAGCAAAGTTGTTTGACATATCGAAAGTTAAACCTGAATGCAGCCTTTGTTCTTCCAAAACAAATGCTAAGCAAATGTACTCAACTGAAAGATATGTCACAGTCACACAAAATGCATCACATGACAAACAGTACCACCCCCACCCCCCTCACACACGCACATCAAGATGCCCATAAAGCAACAAATAATAACAATGAGGTGAGCTATTGAACTGAAGAAATAAGACATTTTATCTAGGAGAATGAATAAGGTATACACATCGTCTAAACTATCAACAATATTTAGTAATTCATAATGATATGAAGTATCAATCTCCAGGTGAAAACTGAAGTACCTGCCATGCCGAGTACTGAGCACATGTATCCACATTCTTTTCTAAAAGCATTTCAGCTCGCACCAACAAAACCTGCTTCCAAACCACTTCATCGCCATAATCCTCCCACTTAGACCTTTCCGGCAAAGAACCAATAGCAGGATCACAAGGATCCTTCGCGACTTCACTAACCCACCTCACCGTATCCAAGTACGATTCTCGCTTCCTCTTCCTACTAATGCAATCTTCCTTGACACTTTCCCTTCCGCTGACACACATCAAATGCTCTTCATCATAATTAACACTCATATTTTCATTAATATCATTTACAGTAAATGCATTGGGGTCCAAATTTCTTTTACCATCAAATGTCTCAGTACATTCATTCAAGCCATCAAAATCCCGAGCCTCAACACCATCACGCAGCTGTTCACCAGTAACACTTCTATTTTCGTCAATATCCTTTACAGTGACCACACTGTGATCCAAATTTCTTTTACCATCAAATGTCTCAGTACATTCATTCAAGCCATCAAAATCCCGAGCCTCAACACCATCACGCAGCTGTTCACCATTAACACTTCTATTTTCGTCAATATCCTTTACAGTGACCACACTGTGATCCAAATTTCTTTTACTATCAAATTTCTCAGTACATTCATACAAGCCATCAAAACCCCGAGCTTCAACACCATTAACACTTCTATTTTCACTGCCGTTGGCCTTTTCATCCGCAATTTTCATTAAAATCTCCTTCAGATCCAACTCAACATCCACCGGAACTCCAGCTTGGCCCGAACCCAAACCCGAACCCAAATCACATTTTCTCACCTCACTATTTATTACACCATTAGTACTCCTTTTTTTCTTAAGTCTCAACATCCATCTCTCTAATGCATCCAAATATTTAACATAAACCAACTTCAAACCCAACCCATAACTCAAATCAAACCCACAATCCTTAGCCACTAAACCCCATGAACCATTCACACAAACTCTCTCATACCCACCTTTTTCCCTAACAACCAAATAAAGCTTGAACAAATCAACTGATTTTCCATTACCCAACATTGGTGGCAATGGCCTGTAACACAAAAGCCCAGTAACTTCTTTGAAGAATTGAGCTAAAATTTCTATAAACAACAGCTTAGCATTACCGTAATCTACTACTTCGGGCTTTACAACTTGTTTCGGGTCCGGGCCGGTTTCGGGTTTTCTGAAGCTCTCTATACCTGATTCATCAACTCTCTTCGACCACCCTGTCATTGCTTTCCAATTTCAAAATCTACGAACAATTCATCAGTCGTACACATACCAGAAATGCACAATCAAACACAAAGAAATAAGAAACAAATCAAACCGAATTTTTTTAGACGCAATAAATGTTTTTTTATTTTTATTTTGTACAAGTGAAACTAGTATAACGACTTAGAAAAAAAAGAGGGAAGATTTTAGGCACTGAATTTTGGGCGGGAAGATATGGATCTAGCCAGGGACCTAACTGTAAAATTTGGGAAATTATAGTACCCGCCCTTCTTCCCTCTACAGTCTACACAGAGAAATGAGAAGGGAGAGGGGACGGTCTCTCTCTTTTTTCTCTTTGGGATTTCACATTTGATTATCTATAATCGCTTTGGTGTCCCATTAATTTATGTCTCATTATGGGTTAAATCACTCATTAACAAAAATAATTCTATTTTCAAAGGTCAAATCCAAAACTTGGGATAAAAAATTAAAAATATATTTATCATCCTCGTAATGCTATTGGAAACAATATTTCTATCCTTACAATGTAGAGTTATACACACTATGCTCGTCAGATTACACGGTGTGAGATAATAATGAGTATGTTATTGTTGCTTGTTTTTGTAATTTGCTTGAGGGAAACGTAGGAAAATAAATTGTATAATAAAAGTTTTCAAAGACGCAACCAGATCTATTTAATCTGTAATTTAGAGTTATTGGTTTATTATATTTTATTTATTAGAGTATTGTGTTTGAGGATCTTGAAGTATGGTTGGTTGAAGGCCAGTTAGGGAAAATCTACAAGCACTGATTTCAAGAGATGAATTTTAAGTATTTGACCAAAATTTATAATAAAAAAATTATTGCCCTAATTAGGATTTTTTTTATGTGCTTTTTATTTTATTGTTAACTTGTGTTTCAAAAATAAATAATAAATTCATATATTAACGATAATACTTACATTGCTATACAAATTTCTTCTAGTTAAATTTTAATTGTGATTAAAATTTAGATTAAGAAATTTAGTCTAATATATAATCATAGCGCAAAGTAAAAAATACAGCAAGATTTAAATCAAGTGCATACCTAGGTAATACCATACCATCAACTAATACACGCTATACGAAAGAATCATAAGGTTATTTTTGTATGGGGTGGGTTATGTTAATTTTTAACAGATTTCATCCATTAGAACCAAAAGTGCACCACTTTCGAAAATGATAGGGACTATTAGTGTTCTAGTATATATTTCAGGGATGCTTTTGAGTCTAAGCCCAAACTTAGGGACTACTTTGAGCTTTTTCTTTGGAAATGCGATATATAAGTCGCAATCTTGGTATGCGATTAATTAGTCGCTGAAAACGACTTCTCCGTATTCGCTATAGCAAAAGCAATTTGTATATAAATTTGTATATCGCCCAAAAAAACGTCACTGTATCATCTCTCTCACTTTTTCTTTGTTGCTGGACTGAGTCAGTCATCCATGGCATTTCCATACTTGGAATCGGTTGTCGGTATGCTCTCAAACTTTCTCTCTCTAACCCTATACACACGCATAATACCTAATATTCATTTATTCTTTCTTGCTTTTGCATTTCCAAATTTTTAGGTTTTACTTATTTAACAAATTCATTCCAATCTGCCTGTATAGAAGGATTATTGCACTTAGGGCTACATAAGTTCGCTTGTACTTGTTTAGTGGCTTTGTAACACATATACATATAGTTCTTTTTTCGAGCCGAAGCTACTGGGTTTAGGATGAACTAACAGTTAGTTCTTAACTATATCCGGCCCTTGATACTGGGCTAGATTTTCAAATAATCCAACATTGTACAATTATTTGAGTGCTTAATAACTGTACTTGCTTTTGATAGAATTCATAAGGCAAATGCACTTGAAGTAGGAAAACTGAACTACATACGGCATATTTGGTAATTGGAGATATCTTGTAAAATATACCTTCACCTTGAATTGTTCATCTGATTAAAATTGAAAGCAAGAAATATAGAGATTATAGGGGTGTAGTTTTGCGTAAATCGTCATTAATTTTCACTTATAGTTAATATCAGGGAGCGGTAAAATCGTTTTTCACTTATCAGAGAAGGAATTAGTGGTTAATCAGACTCCATAAGGAATTGAGTTGGATGTTTATGAACTTAGTGATTTTCTAGTGATGGTTTCAGGATCATTACTACTATGGTGCTAAACATTCTTCCGTGGACAATACGATAAAATTGGAATAATAGAGACGAATTTAATTGAAGTTCTGCCTTAAAATCGTTTTAGATATCTACAATTTGCCTCAAGCTATGATACTTTTTCCTTCTATTTCCATTTTGGATGCCTTTTAGTGGTATTATCAAGCTTGTATGAAATTAGGATTAGATAATGGTGGTTTCGTTTTTATTCATTTATTAATTGATTGATGCTGGATCCCTGTCTTGATTTGGTTGGCAAGTTAATTGACGTTGTTGCTTTTAAATATTTGGCTGGCAAGTTAATTTGCTTGGCTTCAATTTGTTATTCTCTTTGTGGTCTTCATCACCATAAATTGGATCCTTCTTTCGGATTTCTTATTAGTTAACTGGCTATTTGCTGTCACATTCTGTTCTGTACTCTCCTTCTATTTGTTTATTTATTTATTATATGGTGTAATGTATCTTCTCCTTTTTTAAAAGAAACGTTGTGATTTCCCTCTTATTGTGCTTTTGAACTTTCCAGGTTTCATGATACTAATGTACATATTTGAGACATACCTTGATTTACGACAACATGCGGCTCTTAAATTGCCAACACTTCCAAAACCTCTGGAGGGAGTGATCAGCCAGGAAAAATTCAAGAAGTCCCAGGCGTATAGTCTCGACAAAAGGTATGCTTCCTTTTGTTCATGGAATGTTATCTAACTTCACGAATTCTTGTATTATCTTGTTTGGCCATCTTTTTTAATTCTTTTGTTATTTTAATTCTTTTCAGTAATTTTCATTTTGTCCACGAGTTTGTTACCATACTGATGGACTCTGCCATCCTATATTTCCGGATATTACCTTGGTTTTGGAAGGTGAGTGATTGAGCCTTTCTCTTGCGAAGCCGTTTCTGCTTATCTGCTCATTGTTGACTTAGAGTTTCTTTTTTGATCGCAGATATCACGAGACTTTTTGATATACCTTGGTCTCAATGCAGAGAATGAAATATTTCACACACTAGCATTTTTAGCTGGAGTTATGATTTGGTCGCAGGTGCATATGAATATTTTCATCTGGCTCCCCCCTCCCTCTGGAAATAGGATGGTTGATGTTTTCCTGGAATTGTTTCACTGGACCTTTGTCGCCATGATTATGTTTGGCTTTGACAAAACTGAATTAAGTAAAACCTTCAGCATATTAGGAAATGATTTTTTATTTTTTTTTGCTGTGGCATCTTAATTATTAGAAAACCTCGATATTCCTAATTGAAAAACTTTAATTTGGTCTTTGTGATATATGACTAAGCATTTAACCATGATTAGTTGAAACATGTGCTTTTGGACTCTACATTGAAAGACATTTTTATTGAATTTCTACTTTTCAAACTATGTGATAACCACCTATTATGTTAGGTGAGTACTTTTAGTATTTTCCCTTCTTATTTTGGTATAAATATGTTCATCTGAAAATATATAGACTATGGGTGTTTGGTATGAAGGAAAATGTTTTCCTAGAAAATGTTTTCTTGAAAAATGAGTGGTTTTATCACTTATTTTCCTATGTTTGGTTGATGAGTAAAAAATAATTTCCGGAAAATATTTTTTAGTGTTTGTGTAGAGAGTAGAAAATATTTTTTAGAAAAATAAATTTTTATGCTACTTTCCTTACCCCCTTTTCCCAAATCCCCATTTTTATGCTAAATACCTAACGTTTTCAGGACTCTATGTTCTTCAAGAATTTAATTATTCTTTATAAATTAAATTCAAACCCAAAAAGGACTAATGTGTTAAGATTAGTCCCCCTCACATTCCATGAATTTAAGATTCTTTCATGGAATGTGAGGGGGATGAATGACCCAAACAAAAGGACCATCATCAAAGTGGGAGTTAGGGATTGGGGTGCCAACCTAGTTTGGGCCAGAGCGATCGTGAGGAGTGTTTGGGGAGGTAATTGGGTGAAATATGACTGGGTCCCGGCAGCGAGAAGTGCCGGGAGCATTCTTCTTATGTGGGATGATAGAAGCTTGGAGGTAAAGAAGATTAAGGAGTGAGTTTTTTCTTTAGCAGCTCTCGTCAAAGATAGAGTGAGTGGGGTGGAGTTGGGATTTGGGGGAGTGTACGGACCGGTAGGGGAAGGGTCCAAGGTGTTTTTCTGGGAGGAACTGGCCAATATTATTGGGGAATGGGACATTCTATGGGTTCTAGGGGGAGACTTTAACACTATTAGATTCCCGAAGGAGAGATTAGGGTGTAGTCTGATTTTGAGGGCCATGGAGGAGTTTTCTAACTTCATCAATGATCACTTTCTCATTGATCTTCCTCTGCCAGGGGAAAGGTTTACTTGGGCCAGGGCGGAGGATTCCAACTCAAGGTCTAGGCTTGATAGATTTCTGATATCGCCCTCCTAGAATGAGCTGGTGCCGAATGTGCTGCAAATTCCTTTACCTAGGCTGAATTCGGATCATTTGCCTATCTTGCTAGATGGATGCAGAGTGAGGGGGGTGCGTGCTCCCTTCCGATTGTAGAACATGTGGTTGAAAGTGCCAGGATTTGGTGACAAAGTGAAAGAATGGTGGACAAGCTACGGGGTATCAGGGTCACCTTCATTCCGTTTTTCGAAGAAACTCAAATTGCTCAAGGGAGATATTATTAGGTGAAATAAGGAGGTTTTTAGGAGGATAGAGGTTAAAATGAAGTTATGTATGAATTGGGGGAATTAGAGAGAGGGGAAGGGGCTGGGGAGCTAGATAAATCTGAGAAAGCGAGATTATGGGGGAGTTGATAGAAGCCATTGAATACTTCCACGTGAATGGTGTTTTCGAGAGAAGTATCAATGCTTTTTTTATCACTATTGTGCCTAAGAAAGAAGGCGCATCTTGTATCAGAGACTACAGGCCTATCAGTCTCGTGGGGAGCATTTACAAGATTATTTCTAAAGTGCTCTCCAACAGACTCAAGAAGGTTCTTGACGTGTCTGTCTTATCCTCCCAGAATGCGTTTGTTGAAGGTAGGCAGATCCTGGATACTGCTTTGGTGGCAAATGAACTTGGCTTACTGTGCAAGTTGGACCTTGAGAAGGCTTTCGACCATGTCAATTGGGAGTTCCTGGATTTCATTATGATGCGGATGGGGTTTGGGGAAAGATGGAGGGGATGAATCAAGTTCTGCATTTCCTCAGTCAGATTCTCTGTCCTGGTTAATGGTAGCCCGTGTGGTTTCTTTGGCATCTCCAGGGGTCTCAGGCAAGGTGACCCCCATCCCCCATGCTATTCATTCTAGTGATGGATGCTCTGAGCAAAATGATGGATCGTGCGGCGGGTGGAGGCTTCTTGAGAGGATTCTCAGCTTCGATCGGGGTGCTCAGTGCCCGAAGAGTCTCTCATTTACTTTTTGCGGATGACACCCTGGTTTTCTGTGATGTCGTATGGACTAGTTGACCTGCCTGAAGCAGGTCCTGCAGTGGTTCCAGGTAGTATCAGGACTCAAAATCAACCTCGGCAAATGTGAGATTTTCCCGGTGGGTGAGGTCGCTAACATTGATGCTTTGTCTCATGTTCTCAGATGTAAGTTGGGCTCTCTTCCCACAACTTACCTGGGTCTACCATTGGGCGCTTTGCATAAGGATACTACTGTTTGGAATCCAGTCATTGAAAGGGTTGAAAAAAGATTAGCAGGCTGGCAGAAACGGTACTTGTCAAAAGGCGGTAAGGAAGTGCTTATCAAAAGCACTTTGTTGAGTATCCCTACCTATTACTTGTCCTTGTGGCAAGCTCCTGTGAGCATCACAGAAAAACTGAAGCGGCTTCAAAGGAATTTTCTTTGGGATGCGGCGGATGGAACTAGAAAGTTTCATCTAGTGAATTGGCAGACAGTCACTTCCCCAAAGAAGTGGGGTGGACTTGGAGTAAAAGATCTTAGGGTATTCAACAGAGCTTTGCTGGGGACGTGGCTGTGGAGATTCGGGGTAGAAGAGCATGCCCTATGGGGGGAGGTCATAGTAGAATAGTACGATTCCACGGGAGGGGGTTGGAGGACCAAGGCAATCACAGCACCGTTCGGGTGTGGCATGTGGAGATGAAGAACTGGGAAGCTTTCTATGGCAACATCACTTACAGGGTGGGAGATGGAAGGAGAATCAGTTTTTGGAATGGAATCACATGTGGTGTGGAGAGGATACTCTGAGGATCTCTTTCCCCACGTCTTCAAAGTTTCAAACCAGAAGGAATAGATGGTCCAACAGATTCGCAAGGAGCATGAAGGGGGTAGTATGGGACCTCTCTTTTAGAAGGAACATGCAAGATTGGGAGATTGTGGAGCTCCAAAATTTGCTGGCATTGCTATACGGGCAAGACATGCCCCATCCATCTTACGATTCTCGGAGATGGGGGTTGCGTGGCGATGGTTTGTTCACCGTAAAGCCCTTTTACCAGAGTATGTTGGTGAGAGAGGAGACTACTTTTCCATACTCCTCGATTTGGATTCCTAAGGCGCCCACGAAGGTGTGCTTTTTTGCATGGCTAGCGGCGAGGGGAGTGATCTTGACAGCTGAAAATCTGCGAAAGAGAGGAATTACACTTGTTATTTGGTGCTACATGTGTAAAAGCTCAGGGGAAGAAGTTGATCATCTTCTGTTGTATTGCCCTGTGTCCTTGGGTTTGTGGAGGGCAATCCTAAATCTTTTTGGTGTTCAATGGGTGATGCCAAACACTGTAAAGGAAATGCTATATAGTTGGGCCGGTTTTCGTAGAAGAAGCAAGCAAAATGCGTGGAAGTTCGCCCCGTTAGCTCTCATGTGGACAGTTTGGAAAGAGGNTAGGTGTAGGGGTTGGTGGGGATGGGGAATAAAGTGGGGAAAGTTGAATAAGAGCTTGGAAAATGTTTTCTCTTCTCTTGATAGTGAAAACATTTTCCTTCAATTGGAGGAAAATGTTCTTCAAAACATTTAAGCCTACCAAACATGGAAAAATTGAAAAACATTTTCCACCAAACACACCACCCTACGTTTCCATCAAAATATAAGAAAACGGGACCTCCTTTATCAAAATATTATAAGAAAACAAGACCTTATTCAACTTCTAATTAGAAATTTTGACTAATCAAAAGTGATTTCACTAATAGTAGCCTAGTGGTCAATGAAGTGGGTGAGAACCATGAGGTCTCAGGTTCAAATCCCAGCGGAGACAAATACTAGGTGATTTCTTCCCATCTATCCAAGCCTTGGTGGATAGAGTTACCTGGTACCTGTTGCTGGTGGGAGGTGGCAGGTATCCCGTGGAATTAGTCATGGTGCGTGCAAGCTGGCCCGGACACCACGGTTATCAAAAAAAAAATAGTACATGAAAATATTGATAAAAAATATGTAATTTTTGGCATAGATATATCCATCCGTTCTGCCCAACTCTATATACAATAATATAAAGGGCAGCCCGGCGCACAGAGCGTATTTACTCCAAAAATATGACTGAAACATATATGAGTTTTTTTGCTTCTCACAAGTCACATCTTTCTTGTTGCTTTGGATAAAATTACTGTTCCTCCGTTCCATAGTTTCGGGCACCACCTTCCTAAGTTGTGCTCCTCTTTCTCCTTGCGCTTTCGTAGTATAGATGCACTTGCCTCATCCTACTTCCTTGACAATACTCGATGATAAAGAACAAAAACAAGGGCACACAAATGTGAAGCAACTTTGCACCGCATATATGCATATCTCTAATCCTCTTTGCACATGCAACATCAACTTACTCTGTCTTCTTATTCTTAGTTTATCAGCGGAGAAATCCAGAACTGCATTCCACACTGCACACCATATGAAAAAGAAGCCTATTTGACACTTGATACTTTGTATGACCTTAAACACATTCTTCTTATTGACTTGTCCTCTCTCTAGGTAACCTCATATTGCATGATTTCCATGTGAGTACCTTGCATCCTTCACTCTATACCATTCGCCATTGGGTCCATCCTCTCGTCTCCTTCGGGGTTGACTTTTGTCAACGTTGTTTAATTTGTCTCTGCTTCACCCCTTAGAGTTCAACGTGATGTTCTTTTTTGTTCTTCAACCACTGTCTAGGGGGCATTGCGTGGTATACCTATCATGGGCAAGATGTTAGTGTTGAGGCAGGCATAAGCTTGCAAATTTTTATTTTCCATATATAATAAAGTTGTTGCCATGTAACCAGGAGGTCACGGGTTCAAGCCGTGGAAACAGCCTCTTGCAGAAATGCAGGATAAAGCTGCGTACAATAGACCCTTGTGGTCCAACCCTTCCCCGAACCCCGCGCATAGCGGGAGCTTAGTGCACCGGGCTGCCCTTTTCAATAAAGAAAAATGAAATTGTAGAATAAATAGCAGAGCAATGTGGATGATTATGTAAACATAAAAAAATTGTTTAAAGTTCTCTCTCTCCCTCTCTCTCTCTCTCTCTCTCT